AAAATGGCCATGGACCATGTCAGGGGCGGAAAATGGCCGCGGACCACGTGTCAGGGGCGGAAAAATGGCCATGGACCACGTCAGGGGCGGAAAAATGGCCGCGGACCACGTGTCAGGGGCGGAAAATGGCCATGGACCGTGACACGGGAGGGAAAATGGCCGCGTATCCTGTTCGTACCCCGAGGTGGAGTTTGCAAACTGAAGCAAAATTTTGTGGCTGGAGCTGGTTGTAACCCAAAAAGTTCATTAACAGAAGCGTTCGTAACCCGAGGTTCCACTGTATTAATATTATTGAGAGTCAGGTCAGTGTAGTAGTTAGGGTAGAAACTGGGAGTCTGTGAGTTCTAGTCCTGCCTTGGGCATAAAGCCAACTGGGTGACTTTGGGCCAGTCACTCTCTCTCAGCCCTAGGAAGAAGAAGGCAAGGGCAAACCACTTCAGTTGGAAAGCTTGTATGGTGTAGTAGTTGAAGGTACTAGCCTAAAATCTAGGAGACTGTAAGTTGTGAGCCTGCCTTGGGTGCAAGGCCTGCTGAGGGACCTTGGGTCAATAACTCTCTCTCAGGCCTAGGAAGGAGGCAATGGCAAACCACTTCCAAAAAACCTTACTAACAAAACTGCAGGGAGTAATCCAGGCAGTTGTCAGGAGTCAAAAACTGACTCAAAGGCGTGACTCAAAATTATTAAAGCTTAACTAATGCATCCTTCTCCTGCCAACCCAGCAGCTCAAAAACATACGTGAGTAGATAAATGGGTCCTCTCACCCCGGTGGGAGGAAATATGCTGGTGGCGCTTGCATGGGACACGGGACCAACTTGCCGGTAATGTGGAAGCCGCACATGCCCGAAAAAGGCGCAAAGCAACGGAAACCCCGCCTCCAGCGCTCGCCAGCTGGGCTCTGCTCTAGGAAGGAGGCAATGGCAAACCACTGGAGGCAATGGCAAACCACTGGAGGCAATGGCAAACCACTGGAGGCAATGGCAAACCACTTCCGAAACACCTTGCCTTGAAAACTGCAGGGACTCGTCCAGTCGCCACAGAATCGGTAATGATTGAGTGTGGATTAAAAAAAAAAAAAAACATCCTTCACCCAGGTAGCGTCTAGATGTTCAGAGTGGGATCCTGGCTGGGAGTTCCATGAGTTGCAGGCCCAATGTATTTAGAGCAGGCCACCTTATCCCAATACAGACCATCAGGATAATTAAGGAGACAACCTGCACTCTCAATTGCCTTCAGAATCTACAAGAAGTCTGTAGAGTTGCTTCAGAGGTGACAGGAATATAAACTCCATGATTAGGTTTCTTTTTTTTAAATGGCACTATTTTCTTCTATCAGGTCCAATTTCTGAATGTCTTAAAGGAACTTCCATATAGATCTTTATTACAATAGTCCAAATGGGTTCATACAAAGCCTATGGTTTGTTTTCTGCCTTTTTCATTCTACAGATATGAACAACTAGGCTGGATTCACAGATTGCTCTAAGCTATTTAATTTCAGTTGAGTATGGTGTAAAGTAAGGCAACTGTGATTCATTCAAAAGCAGCATTTGAGCAAGTCACACCTTAGCTTGATGTGTTCACCAGACTGTATTCTCTCTGCTGTGTACAAATACAGTATAGCAAATTAAACACTGAGCAAGAAACTCTCTTACCTGTTCCAAGATCATCTTAAGGTGAGAATATGCTTCCTGAGGAGTAAATTTGAGTTCCAAGATGAGACGATCTATTTTATTAATCACCAGGACCGGACGGATGTTTTCCAGCCAAGCTTGACGCAACACTGCGTGTGTCTAAGACAAAACAAAATGTGTTGACAGAAGGTTGTGAAATAATATACACAAATACGGATATGTGGCACTTTGGGTCTGAAGCTGAAAAGATGCTTTGGACTGAGCATGGGCACACATGTCACATGTCAGTGTCTCTTTTCTGGAGTTCACATGCTAGCTGTGCAATGGCAGGAAAGTACTATTTGAGTTAAGGAGGTGCCACCAGGGTGTGATAAAAGGCTCAGAGAGAGCACTGGCTCCCTGTCAGTGTTCCTTAACTCATACACTTATTTTCCTGGGACTTCATGGCTTCTGAGTCAGCCTAGAAAAAGGTGCGGCATCTTGAAAGAGGTGCCAACAGGCACATCCATGCCTGTTCTAAAACTTCAGCTTCAACTATGAAGTACTGCAGATCTCTATAAACAAAATCTGTCTTACAGATACTAATGACCTAGCCTGAACTAAAGCATGGATGATGGCAGACATAAACACACCATTCTGTTATACTCTCTCACACATTTACTTTATTACAAAGACACATAGTAGTCACCAACTGAAGTAAAAATTAAAACCAAGTTGCTCTTAAAGTTAGCATCTAAAAACTTACCTCTTGAAAATATATGGGTACGCACATTTGTGCTTTTCAGCTTATAAATCAACATTACAAATCATACTTGGATTGAAAACCTGCCTTAGTTCATGATGTTAAAATCCAACAGATATGAAAGACCAGTCTTATTAATAGTTTATTATTTATTACTGAATTCATAGCCCACTTTTGATCATTTCAACATTCCAATCAGCTAAAAAATAATGCAATATAAAATATAAAACAGAACAAAATTCATATAATGAAAAACCAAAACTGTAATCAGCTACCCAAATAATTAACAATTCAAAGCTTGGCAAAAATGATGTATTTTCACTATATTATTAAATATGTGGGAGCCAAACACAATTCTTTATAACACACATTCCACACGCTGCAAGCCCCATAGGAAAAGCCCTTTCTTACAATTGTTGAGCTTTTGGCAGCGGGGTATTTTCAGAAGGGCCTTTCCTGCTGATCCAAGTGACCAGGCAGATTCACAGCAGGAGAGACACCCCTACAAATAATTAGACCTTAAATAGCTAAGCATCCTGAACATAAATCGTTCCTTCCACATGCAGGTTGAAGGCTGAAAGTAATCAGTTAGGAAACTTAGTTTATTCTCCCCTCCTATATCCAAAGTATCTTGTTTTCCAGTACCTGTGGGCAGACTCCTTCCACGGCATCCACTATAATGATGCAACCATCACAAAGTCTGACAGCCGTGGACACTTCTGAAGAAAAATCTACATGGCCAGGGGAGTCTATTAGATTGATGAGATATTCATGATCATCTAGAACCAAAGGAAAAAATTGTTAGGAGACAAGTATTTTAGAAGTGAAGCCAGTAAGCAAATGAACAGCCACTCAACAGATGAATGTGTCTGAATTTCAAGCTCATGTATTTCTGTTGGCTGGTGTGGGTCTTCCGGGCTGTGTGGCCGTGGTCTCGAAGTCTTGTTTCCTAACGTTTCGCCAGCACCTGTGACCGGCA